AGGGTGGGTCTCCTCCTCCTCCGTGGATCCTGCCTGCCGCTCAGCTGTTCTGACGTAGAGCACGCTATTTGACGTCACCGTGGGAGTGTCCACCATCGGGAGAAATGAACGGTCATCAACACAATCCTCTCAGCGCCCATGTAAGTTGAAGCCAGCAAAACACACATTTTGCGAGCCGGTTTATGAATGAAACGTGTTTCCGTGGGCTGTTGTGCGACGTGCGGAGGGGCCGAGGCCGGTTGACGCTGCGTGTGCGGTTGTCGTGGCCGGTTTGCGTGTCGCTAACCGCGGCTGAAGCTGGAGCGGTGTTTTTTAGCTAAGAGCCTAGCCGCACTGCTAACTGACAGACAGGCTGAGTGGCCAGGCGGCGAGTAAGCGCCTGATTTACCGGCCAGGATACACAGGATGGGCGATGTTAAGTATGTTTACTTGTGAGCGATTACGGAAAGCGTATTAATACTTGCTGTATGGTGTAACTCGTGAGGCTTTAAAGTTTGTGGACAACACCCAGGCCTGACTCAATCATGTGTGTGTTGCTGTCAGAGCAGGATATTTAAAATTAAATGCCTTAATGTTGCATTCACGGTCATTTGTCCTCGATCTAAGCTCTGCTGTGTGTGTGCTGCAAAGCCCCTGTGTAAGAGCAGAACACGCCACCATGAAATACAAGAGTCCAAGGTGTGATTAAGGAAGCCTGGTGGGAGTGTGTGTGACAGATGGCCACCCAATACCTCCAGTCTGAACTGTGTGTTTGAGCTTTTCACACCTGCGAGGACCGGCTTGTCATGATTCTGCTGCTTCTCTGGAAACCTACACAGCTGATATTTGGTCTTTGCTCATTGTTAAATTTCATGTTTCAGTAGAGTTTGTGATGACAACATATTTCCGATGCATTACCCAATATATATATATGACTCAATAGACTGTTGTCAGTATGTGGGTTTCACAATCGGATCTTATGTGCAGAGCAAATTATTGTGTCACTGAACTGTAACGAAGCCTTTAATAATGACAGTTAATGGTGTTGTTGTTATAGAACAAGTGAAACCAATGCTTAACTGTTTAGATCTGTTGAATTAATTAAAGCAGGTAAAGCAGGAACTCATACCAGCATGTGTTGTTGTAATATACTCCCATCAGTGCTGGACTTTTGGGGCTGATATTGTTTTTAGGGGGTTAAATAATTCTGATATTGCTCCATCAGACACTGTCGGACTCCACCCCAGAGTCTGCTCATCTGTGACACATGCTCTGCTGCATGTGCTGCAGACACCTGAGAGCTTCTTTGCTGGACAAACTATGTGATGGTACTGTCTACATGTTTTATTGTTTTTGCACTATGTTGTGTAAAAGACGTCCCTGATGAAGGCTCACATCGAGCAACACATTATGTGTGACAGGCCAATATGAACCACTGATGTCTGTCTGGCACTGCTGCAGAGCTCCTCATACACGTGTATCGCATTTCATGATCTGATTTATGCATTCAAATCAGATCATGAATGGGGTTGGCCAGTGAGTGTAGAAGCACATGAGCAGGCTGCAGGGACAGCAGTGATGAGAGCTCATTTCTCTTATTTGGTCTGTCTTCTGCTGCCTGTCCTAACTGCACACATAGTTTGTGTATTAAACTGAGGCAGGTCATTGAGCACAGCAGAGGAATCCAAAAGTGTTAAAACATCTCTGCAGTTGGTGTTAGTTTTGCCTGCAGTGTTGTGTCGTTTGGCTGTGTAGCCATAGAAAGCCAGCTCCTACTACTGCTTTACGTTTTTGAAACCTTTCGAAGGTAAACTCACATCACCTGGGGTTGTTTACTCGAACTGCACACTTAACACTATAGTCTGAAGTGCTGAAGGCAGCTATTAGACTTGGCAACATGTGCTGTTGTGCTAAATGTTAAGCGTTCAGAACCTAAAGCTATGACCTCGCCCCGCACAGCAGCACCGGTGTGCACTGTAAAGTGAAATAAACGCCCTCCGGCGCACCACGTTAGCTCACAGTGCTAGCTGCTAGAGGAGCAGGCAAGCCGTCAAAACGGGGCCAACGATGCTTTCTGGCTGTAGCTACCAGCGCGGTTAGTACTTCTTTGTGATATAAAGACAGACTACATTGATGTTTTCAGCAGTTGTGTGTTGCAGTTGTGTGTTTTTTAAAGGCCCGGCCTCCGACCGTTAGCTAGCGAGCTGCTAGTTTCATCCTCTTCTTATCTCCAGCTACCATTAAAACCTTTGAGCCCGGACTGTTTGCACTAACTTAATAATTGCACTCATAAATACAGGCCACTGTGCGTCTACATAATTTACTTTATCGCACCATCTCTCCTTTTTAATTTTTAAGCATGGGCGTTACTACAGTTACCCTACATGTAATGACACCGAATGCACCTGTAACCTACTGACTAATGTAATTAACTAACGCGGGCTGTGTGCTGACAGTAAGCTCTGTGATGGACGGGGGCTTTTATCCACAGCCTTTGTTTCGCGTTATAATCAAATCTAAAGCAAAGTTTATTGTTTCGCTGCTGGATGTTGTCACTGAATGGCTGGTGATGATCTCATCGACTGTAGCCGCTGATTCCTGCAGAGAGCGATGTTGACATGAACACACAGCACCGAGCTCCGCCGTGTGTACCGGCCCTGTTGTTCCGGTGTCACATTCATTTGTTTTATATCCGCTCTTGCCTCCATGAGACAGGCGAGTGGTTCATGGCCTGCAGATATTCCCAGGGGCCTATTCTGCGCTGTTAATTAACACTGCTCAGTTAATTTAGCTAAAAGTCCTCGGAGGCCTGAGCTGTGCAAAGTGGAACCGCGTGTCTTCCTTTTTCTCATCGAAGTTATGAAGCACACAGACTTTTATGAGCTTCTTGGGGGACACATGACTGTACTGGGCAGTTTGTTTTTGTGCCCCTTTGCTCACTTCAGATGTTGTTGGGCTCAAATGCCATCTCTCACAGTGATGCACGATATTAACATTTCTGACCAATACCGATATTAGGATTTCTGATATCGCCGATAACCGATATTACCGATGTCGATATTCAATTTTTTGTTCACACTGAATCATGGTAAGCACTGTGAGAATGTGACAACTATCCAAAAGAAGCCCAAATTAGACCACATAGTCTTCTTTATTACATAACAAAATTAAAACATATTTTAACATATTGGGCTGCAAGGTGGTGCAGTTGGTAGCACTGTTGCCTCGCAGCAAGAAGGTTGCCGGTTCGCGTCCCGGTGGGGGCACCGGAATCTTTCTGCGTGGAGTCTCCATGTTCTCCCCGTGCAGCGTGGGTTCTCTCCGGGTTCTCCGGCTTCCTCCCACAAAGTCCAAAAACATGTTGAGGTTAATTGGTGATTCTAAATTGTCCGTAGGCGTGAATGTTGTCTGTCTCTAAGTGTAGCCCTGTGATGGACTGGCGACCTGTCCAGGGTGTCCCCTGCCTTCGCCTTAAGTCGGCTGGGATAGGCTCCAGCCCCCCGCGACCCTAGTGAGGATTAAGCGGTGTATAGAAAATGGATGGATTTTAACATATTTAAGTCCAGGACCATTTAACATCTGTGAAATAGCAGCAGTATCAATTGTAGAGATGAAGGTGCTAACGTCAGACAATCATCGGGCTTTTACATTGGCTAAATTTGTTCATTGGACCGATACCGATGTGGTCGCTGATATATCGTGCATCCATAGCGTCCTTACATGTGGATTTATTCTGACACTGCGCTGTGAAAAAAATCTCATGTTGTAATCAAACCCAGGTGGGGACATAGATGCTTCTTTAGCTAACATCACATCTCGGGTACCCTATGGGATTGTCACTCACGCAGCCCTCATTCAATGATTCCTTTCACCACAGTTACCTGAAAAACACATCAATGTATTACTGCTGTATAAACTTACTGTTAACAATCAGTGCTTCTGTGCATGGAGTGAAAGTTTTCACTCGTCTAATCTGCTCGGGGTCCACAAACGTTTCTCTACACTAACAAACCTCGACAGAATACCTCGTAAAACCCTCCGCAGGGAGTGATAGCGTAGGCTCTGTTTGCCAACCCACCCTGTTTTAGTTTCTCTGCTGCTTTTTGAAAACACTTTAGAAATAACACAATTTTATGTCCACACACAAAAAAAAGAAATGTCCAATTCCAGTTTCTCATTCTTGTTTTTTCGTTTTGCTTTGCAGCATGTGATTTTTCTAAATGTCCACGGGAACAGCTGACTAAGGTTTGACAGCTATTCCATCAGATTTAATTTGGAAAAATTACCCAGAGGAAGCAGTGCTGGAGATTTGCCTGGATTATTAAGCCTTTCTCTGTGTTATTAGAGACACAGATCTACTGCTGATGACCACATCTGAAGGTATGTTTGTCTGCAGTTACGACCTTGCTCTGTTGCACGTCCTTTCATCAAACTGTAATTTTTTTTTGCACATTTTAACTGAATAATACTGTTAATGTTATTACTATATTTAGTGTAGTCTATGACTGTGAAAGAGGCGTGTCAGTCTAATCTGATTTTCTCTCGCCTGTTCCTATGAAATAATCAGGTTTGTGCTATGTTATGTTAACAACTGTTGGCCAGTGTTTTTGCTTTTCAATTTGCAGTTCTTTCAGATAATTTGACTATTTTTCATGTTTTTGTAATCTAATTGTTTTTTTTTCTTCTTCACATTTATTTCAAGTTAACAATGTAGATATTTATATATCACATTTTAGCTGTGCATTATATATATTCTCATGGTTTGTGACAGTCGTCTTTGTCTGTTACTTGTTTTGTGTCTGCTATTGTCTTTTCTGCTCCCCCCCTTTGTCAGGTCTTGAAAAGGAGATTTTAATCTCAGTTAATGGTTAAATCAATGAGATAAGACCCCATTAAATCTAGTTTTCAGTAATCAGCTCAAATAAAAAGAACAAGTCGGTGCAGGTGTAGGAATACTGAAAACAATGAGTGTGGAAGATGCGCCGCTTCCAGAGCAAAACCAGACTCACTGCCGTTTTGCAGAAGTAAAATGCTCCTAGACATGCACAGCTCTCCATGTAGATGGTGTGACCTTGGAGCAGTACATGTTCAGAGAGTGATAGGCGAATGTTGGCTGACCCAGTTCACAGAGAACACTTTGCCCTCAGCCTGGAGGAGTCAGATGCCACTGTATTTTCATCGTAGATGTAGGATATTGTTTCACATCTGTGTGGGATGTTTGTTGCTTTGTCTTGGCTTTGTTGTCGAGCTTTAAAGGCTTATTGCAGCAGGACTCTGTCATTAGTGACTCAGGATGACAATATGTGGTCAAACAGCTGCTGTTCAGTCGGTTGGGTAGATGGTTTTATAGGCTATAAATGGAAATCGATGTGAACTTTAGAGGCACCGCCATAAAAACAACCTGCTTTTTGATCAGATAAGTGTTTTAACATGAACCTCATAACATAACTTAATTACAGTTTGCTCTACTTGCTTTGTTGAGACTTACAGTATTACCTTTTACACAGGGATTTATTCTTGCTCTCATTTGCTTTGAGTGAAATGTTCAGCAGCAGGGAGTGAACCGTGACACCGTTTACACGTGAATCAACCTTTGAGCATGTTGCTCTGCAAGACTTGGTGGAGGCTACTTGTTATCGAACTATTCACTTCCACCTACCCTTTCACGAAGTTCTCTTTTATCTGACACTGCAGATCTAACAGCAGGACCAGCACGTAATGACTCAGAGTATCACTCGTGGAGCATTTCATAAGGTTTTTTGTGCTAGATCGCTGTGCTGGCTTGTTAAATGATACTTTGTCGCTGTGCTGACTCATGGGATCCTTTTTCTGTTTGTCTGCAAAGTAACGCACGTAGTACATCGCCGGTGCTGTCACTTTAAGCTTTAGATATTTTCTTTAGGGTTCAGTGAAACTTGCAGCACACTGTGTCTTGCAAAACAGCCTGTGTGGGTGATCCAGGGTGCGTCAGGAAAAAAAAAAAACGTACTGCTGAAAAATACGTTGTGGTGTTGTCTCAGTGAAAACGCAGAGCTGATTGATGATGCACTGCGAAGGTCCATCGTTTTTCATGATTAGAAAGAGATGCAGTTGAGATTTAATGCAGTAAGTGAGAATGTAATTTAGAGCACATCCAGATAATCCAGTTCTTGATCCACTGCTTTTCATAAGTGTTTCAAAGACAAAAGAAATTCATGGCCTGGGCGCTGAGCTTCCTGAATACGTCGTCACTTTTGTTAGTGTGAATTTTTTTGCAAAAGTTAATCTCTGAACACATTTATGAGCAAGTAAATGGAAGTACAGAAGCATTTCTAGCACTGATTCAGGCATTTGGGTTTGCTGTTTTAAGGACAAATGACCAGGAATATTGTAGAAACGTCATCCTAAAGCTGATTTCCAGTATTTGTATTAAAGGATGCACATTTGCTGGCTCGTTGAAGCAAAGCAGGACAGGAAGGATCTCTCTCTCAGGCCAGCATCCCCACCCCCTCCCCCGTTGTCTGTGCTTCAGCTGAGTTGTGCAGTGACAGCTCCTTAAAGCAGTCGGAGCTGCGTTCATGTCACGGTTTCATGTTTTGTTTCTGTTTTGGAAAGTGAGTCTAGAAGCTGATGTCATGTTGATGTTTTCAAGTCGTTTCCTGTGAACATCACGTCTGCTGGATGTGCAGCAGTTACCACTCCACTCTAACATAACAAGACTCTTCAAGCAGTGGATCTTAAGGTTTTAACTTCAGGTCCATTAGGTCGTTGTCAGTTTCTCGTTGTCAGCATGTTGGAAGCTTTTAAGTCATTTGGTCCTGCACTCGTTTTAATATCCATTACCAGTCGCTGTAAGTTGGAGGTTTGTGTTCACGTCTGTTTCTTTTTTTTTTTTTTTTATGTGGATATTTGTGAACTTTTTCTGTTGTAGGAAGAATATTATATGTGTTTCTGTGTGTGTTTCTGCTTCACTTAGCCAACCCTGAGTTGTGAGCCAGAAGAGGAGAGGCTGGGCTGATGGTAAGCTCTCCGTCACACTCTATCTCACTGTCTCTTTACATGTTGATGAACCAAAGAACTGTTAGCAGTGTAGGCTGACATTTGAGAAGCAGAGATGTGGAATGGTCCTTTATATTACAGGATTTAGCCTTGGTATAAAATGAGATGCAAAGGGGAGGCCGCTGTGGATCACGGGACACGCTATTCAGTTGAGAATTAAACACCGTCCATCTAGAGTTTCATTTAGATTCTTCACACTTTGTGGTTTCTTTGTTAGTGTCATGCAAGCCTTCTCAGTTATGTTGGTCATTAATTTCTACAATGAACGCTTTCTGAAATGTTAATATTTACTTGCTTTTGCATCGTTGAGCAGGAATACACAATGGAAAGTGATTTCACGCGCAGCTAAAACAGCTTCTAGCATTTCAGAAAATGTTCTCAAAAGTACGTTTATTTTGTAGACTTTGTGTTTTTGCGTTACTGGGTTGGCACAGTCTGACATGTCCATACTGTTTGATTACAAAACCTTAAACTGCAAAAAAGAAGTCACGTCTGTGTCAAGCCAGTTTGTGTTGCGTACTGTTGTTTTATATTCTGCTGCTTATTATGTTCGTCTCTCACTGCTGCATGTCATAATGCATTTTATTTTCCTTTTGTGGTAGACAAGCATGACATTGAGCCAAGCCACAGATGCATGCCCACTCAAAAGGCCCAACTGAGCGCCATCCCCTCTGCTTCCCGGCTTTCAACCAGCCTCTCAGAGGGGGCGTAGCTAGTCTCCTGCACCCCCAAGTAGAACCCCACTGTGAAACTGGAGGTCTCTGATGGATCAGGGTAGTAGTGAGCAGAGTCCAGAGGAGCCAGACACAGGAGGCCGAGCAGAGCCGGAGGTCGGCAGGAGGGCGTCGGAGTCAGAGCACGGCTTGTCCAAAATCACCCATAATGCCCTGGAGAACATGGGAGCGTTGGGCCATGGCCTGAAGCAGTTCTTCCAGCCACAGCGCCGACGCTCCTCCGTTTCCCCACATGACTCCGCCTCGTCCTGCACAGGTGCCCCTCCCTCCGAACCCACTGATGTAGGGTCAGAAGTAGGGGACGCTCCTGCCTCCTTGGCCCTCCCTGTGGATTCTGACAACCCTGCCGCTTCCGCCCCTCCTGCAGCTCTGAGCCGTGTTCTACAGCAGATCCGAGGCGCTCCACCAATGATGAAGCGAGGCACCAGCCTGCAGAGCCGCCGCAGTAAGGCAGGGGGCCCTGGGGATCCTCCCCAGAAAGGTAGCCCACAGATCCACAGGCGCAGCACCCACGAGGCCTTGCTGCAGGCTGGACGCCCGCGCTCCTCCTCGACCACCGACACGCCCAGTAGTCCCGCCTTAGCGGACATGCTGCTGGCGTCTGGTTACCACTCCACCGAGGAGCCCGACAAGGTGAGTGTCTCGGTCCTCTCGGGGGGAGTCCAGTGTGTGAAGTCAACCGCTGTCACGCAAGAGTACATTCTCTGCAGCGTACGTTTCAGCCTTAGAGGTACAACACAGCAGTGGCAGTTTGCGGCAGGTTGCACAAGTAATTACAGTGGTTCAGAGCTGCTCGCGTGTCCCTTTGCAAGATGCATGTTTTTTTTTTTTAATACTGTAAAACATACAAAAGCGGAAAACAGGGCTAAAGATGCCACCTACAGGTAATCAGCAGAACATCGATCGCAGTGAGACAATTCACACTCTCCTTTAACCATGTACAAGAATTTGCATGCGTTGAAGTCCTGGAGATGCAGAGGTTAAAAAAAAAAAATCAAAATACAGTTAATTCATAATTTTACTTTTGCTTTGTGAGATAATTTAAGGGCAATACTAGTATTTTTGTAACGTGTCTTCGTTGTGCGTTTTTCTTCAACTACTTGCGACTATTCTTCCTTTTCTTCATGATTAAAGTACAGGGATGTTTAATCATTTTCATGCAGCTGAAATGCCTTTCACAGGCTTGTTTATATGTCCTCGTACAAGCACAGTACAACTCACAAAGAAGATATGGCACTAGTTTCCTGAATGTAATCTGAACATTTTGTATTTACAGAGAAGTTGGCTTTAGGACATAAAACATTCAGATTAAAACTCTTAATACTAACAGACACCGTGTACTCAGGAGGAAGCAAGTGTCTTTTTTTTTTGTGGCTTTTTAGCTCTAACAAAAAGGGTTAGGGTTGTTAAAAAAAAAAAAAGTGACTCATGCACTAATATGGGTGCAAGAACATCAAAACCAAGTGAATTGGGCAAACGTGTTAAAAGGCCATTAGTGGCTTAGATGTGCCTGGATGAACCACTGAATGGGGAGATGAGCTGTCGGCGGTGGGAGGTCAGAGATTGCCTTTGAGTGGTTGGTCACTATGTGCTTTAAGCCGTTCTAAATTTAGCTTTTGCTGTCTCTGAGTGTACTTCAGGTCAGAGAGGGCTCGCAGGGCTAAACAAACTTGTGCGACACTTTGTTTTTTGACACTGTTCATAGGACTCTGGAATCAATACCCTTTAGGTGTTTCTGTGAAATCATAAAAAACTAGACACCCACAATATGACAGGAGAATCTCTGGAATGACAAATCTTTATGGGCCGTGCCACCGATCCTGCTACTCAGTGGAAGCTGGAATTAAGTTTATCAACAGATGTCGCACACAGGTTGGAAACATGGCACCCTCATCCTCATCTTGTGCGACCTTTCGGCGCGTTACTTGTAATGTCGTGGCCACCCAGCTGCAGATTCAATTCAATGCAGTCGTCCTCAAATGTATTCATACCCTAACGCATACTAAAAATAAACAACTAATTTTTGCTGGTTAACCTGTTTGTGCACTTGTTTGTATTACTGCTAGGTTGATGCTGGAGTTTATGATAATAATAATAATAATAATACATTTTATTTGTATACTGCTTTACTGGATAAAAGAACAATAAAAGCAACTAATACAAAAGTAGACGAAGCAAAAATACAGGCAGGTGGGTAAAAACAACACAAGATAAAATACAAAAACAAAGTTCAAGATAAAAGTTTATGAATTAAAATGTGTGGATCAATTAATTTATTGGTGATCTATAACCAAACATTACTCTAATGGGAAAAGAAATGTATTCAGAGGCACCTCTGCTATGAAATTAGGAATGGACATTAAAATTAATCTTTTGTTCTAGTACAAAGCAACATGAGGGTAAGTTATTGTTGGCACTGATATAAAATCATGTAGGAGAACGAAATCTGAGTGGCATTAACGTTGCTGTAAGTCATCATAAACCAGAAACAAAAGTGAAACACTAGATTGGAGATGTTTGCCAGCTCTTTATGTGTCTGTCCTTTGATACAGCCGTACTGTTTACAGCAAGACAAAATCCGATACTGCAGTTGGTGTCAGAGCACATCTAAACAGCTGGAATGTTAATGACATTTTCCTGTTTTTCTATATCATCAGATAACGTAACCTTGTGCTGTCTATGTGGCTCAGATCGTTTCGTTGACTCACACATACTGTACTGTCTCATCACGAGTAGGAACAACTCAGCGGCCGTCATGTTCAGTAGCAGCTGGTAGTCTTGTGTTCTTATGTTCAAATATTTTATGTGAATTACCGAGATTTTAGATTTACTTCTCCAGTTGTTTTCTGAGGGGGAGCCCAAGGGCTGCGATGATGGTCGCAAAGCTATCTCCTAAAATTAAAGTCTCTTATTATAACTACATCTTCAGCTATCTTGAAATATTTTTTGAGACCTATGTTTTTTTCTAGTTATCCCTCCACTTATATCTTGAGGAGCTGGAGCTGTGCAGTCATCATGGTCAAGAGAGAACTTTGGTCTTCCTGCTGCCATCTGCTGTTCTGAATGTGTAATTACAGCGATGTCTTCTCGGATCAATGTTGTCTGCACGATTAAGCCAAATATGTTCCACTTATTTACACCCTCCATTAGTGCCAGTCATTTATTGAAACATACAGCTATATTTAAGTTATTATTATCAATGCTTTGCAGGATTCAGGTGATGAATCTAACTTAAAATTCAATGCTTTGGCTTGCAGATGACACATCTGTGTTTATTTGTCGGTGTAATCATTATTTTGCAGGTTAAACTGTCAGAAAACATTCTCTTTGCGTAGTTCAGTGCTGGAGCTCTTCAGCGTCATAATGACCAATGAACATCCACCAAGAACACACGTCTGAATTTTATGTAAAGGAACAGTATGTTTATGTATTTTGCCACAACATGCAGTACAAGTAACCGTCAAAGTAGTGGCACGTTCCTACGACACTCTTTAACAACATCCCATCTCCTGAATGAAGCGTACTGTCCTGGCTCAGAGGAGCGTCTCCATCAGGCCTCGACGTCAGCCAAAAAAAAACCTGCAAGATTAGGCAAACAGGGCTGATATGTGTTAACTAGTGATGGGTAGATGAGGCCTCAGGAAGTCTTGTGGCACATGACCCAAACTGTATTGACACTGTGTTGGTACTGTGTCACTGGGATGCTCAATACTGACACCTGCCGGATCTTAAGAGTCCTAACAGGCAACCTAGTTGGCAGGCTCGACTGACGTACTGATATATTAACCTAGTGTAAAATAGTATATTTGAAGTTATTGTATTTTATATTGTATTATATCTTAATTTAGTTTAAAATATATGTGATATCTTTAAAAAACACAAGGAGGGGATTTTTTTTTTTTTGTATCTAAATTTTTATTCAAAAAATCAATTGTTCCAATGTCTGGTCATTAAGGCAATTATGTTTTTTTTTTTATGCAAGTTCTCCAGGAACAGGATTAAACAACAAGGAAATAAAAACAAATACCTTATTGGCTGATATAAGATCAAAATGGTCTCGCACGGTGGGAACCTCTTTTTCTTTCAGGCTCTATAATAGCATCTATGATTCTTTTGGCAGAGCTGCATCCCGTTGACCGATGTGCTTCCTTATAAACACAGTTTGGTGAAACAGCAGCTGTATCGGTCACGTGACTTTCTTCAAGCGATACGCGCGCCGACACGGGGTTTCGCTCCATGAGCTCGACACATGCGCCGACGCATCGGTGTCGCCGGACCCATCACTAGTGTTTACATTCACCAGTTATGTTGAGCAAGTTTTAGATTTTGACAAAGCACTGCACTGGACCGAACCCAATGAGCCTCTAGACGGCATTTCAAATAGACTTTTAAAACGGTGTTGGCATTGGATCCTGACACACCATTACTACGGTTAGCTTAGATTGGCAGTTACATCCTCAATTGTTTGCACAAAAAGGCATAGTTAGGTTGAACTGACAGTGATGTTAATCTTTTTATAAACTGTAATTGATTTGAACCATCTCTTTGCATATTTCCGTTTCCTTCCTGTGAATAGCTGGATCGCTACGACGGATCGGGCCCTGCCGTGTCGCCCAACGCCCTCCCCTACGGTGCAGACGGCTATGATGTGGTCGACAGCACCCCGGACCCCCAGCGTACTAAGCAGGCCATTGCACAGCTGCAACAAAAGATCCTCAAGCTCACCGAACAAATCAAGATAGAACAAACTGCGCGTGATGACAACGTGGCCGAATACCTGAAGCTCGCTAACAATGCTGACAAACAGCAGAGCGCTCGCATCAAACAGGTGTTTGAGAAGAAGAACCAAAAGTCGGCTCAGACCATCCAGCAACTGCAGAGGAAGCTGGAGCACTACCACCGGAAGCTCCGTGAAGTGGAGCACAACGGCATCCCACGCCAGCCCAAAGATGTTTTTCGAGACATGCACCAGGGGCTGAAAGATGTTGGAGCCAAGGTCTGTGATTTGTAGTGTTGTTTTTCTGCTCATAGCACAATCCAGTAAACTCTGATAAGCCTCCACGTGCGTGCAGTCCTGATGGGTACCAGCCTGTCAGATTATGTGTACAGATGCTGCTGACAGATACTGCAAATGTGTTAGAAAGTCTGATGTGAGGAACATCTATAAAAGCAGTTTGGAGTCTTGTTTCAGGTTCAGCTTCACAGTTTTTGGTCAAAACTGTGATTCAAGTCAGAAATTGTTGTGTTTCCTGTTATAGCATCACAGCTTCTGAGTGGACTGCAAAGTGACGGATGAATAGAGAATCCACGCCACTGTATTGACTTGATTTGTGAAAACTATGCATTGCTACACAGAATACAGGGTTAAGACTAACTTACATGGTGGTTTCTCTGTGTACCAGCCCTACTGGCTATTGGTTTCATGAAGCTTTATCATTTTGTTGTACCTCAACAGAATATTATTTCAGATCCAGTTTCATCTCACCCAGAAGTTGTCCAGAAGAGCACGTACCTAAATAACACACCATGGCCTTTTTACTGGTTTAGTTATATAAGAGTTATATAAGGCACATAGCTTTAGTTTTTTTTGTTTTTTTTTCTATTGCAGTGACACCTTAATATATCCTGAGTGCTGATATGATCTCGCTTGTTACAGGTAACAGGAGGCCTCTCGAGCTTCTCTCAAGCCACCCATTCAGCCGCTGGAGCTGTGGTGTCCAAGCCAAGAGAAATCGCTTCCCTCATCCGCAACAAGTTTGGCAGTGCTGATAACATTGCAGCGCTCAAAGACTCTTTAGATGAAACCCAAGGAGATGAAGGTGTTGGCCCTGGGGGAGCGAGGGCCCTCGGGACAGGGCAGTTGCAATCCAGCCCCAAGTACGGCAGTGATGATGACTGTTCTAGTGCTACTTCTGGTTCTGCAGGTGCAAACAGCACCCCTGGAGCCCCTGGTGGCCCCCCTAGCTCCAGGGGTAATACCCTTGATCAGGCTCAAGCCTCAGGCTTTGACGCTATACTCCATGAGATCCAGGAGCTTCGTGAAAACCAAGGTCGACTTGAGGAGTCCTTTGACAGTTTAAAAGCCCACTATCAGCGGGACTACACCGTGATCATGGAGGCCCTGCAAGAGGAACGATACAGGTAGCGCAGGCGTACACACTCCACTGTGGTAGGTCTGTACTAGCTGACGAACAGAAGCCTGTCTGAACAATGTTGTCGTCACTACTTTGCAGGTGTGAACGTCTCGAAGAACAACTCAATGACTTGACAGAACTGCACCAGAATGAAATTCTGAACCTGAAACAGGAACTAGCCAGCATGGAGGAAAAAATTGCCTACCAGTCGTATGAAAGAGCAAGAGACATACAGGTAAACGTCCCCAAAATCTACCGCACTATACTTTATGCCAGAAAAAAAACAAACTGTCTTACATCCCAATACGTAGTATGTCAAATGTAATATGGCAAAAACACCTGGTTGTCCGACTACATCTGGGTGGATTTGCCGGTACACAAGTCAGCCTGCTTTTCTGGCCAGTCTGACCCACAATACTCTGCACATTTACGTCGCATATGTCACGGTGTCTTGCGTATAAACAAATTTAGCTGCAGAGAGGAAACAGAAGACAGCTCATTTCACGTGACAGACTACGACAGTAAAAGTTTAAGACGCATTATTATGAATAAGTTGTGTGTCCAACAGTTCTGCTTTGTTATCAGAGCTACAATCGTCCTCAAATGTATTCACACGCTTCCTTTAAACAAAAGGCCATATTCACAACAATCACTCAAATAGCTAGAAATTGAAAAAGTAATAATAAATAAAATTTGCTGAATTATAATTTAGTGAAATCAGATGTTGCTTTTGAATTGTGGTTGAAAGTAATAAAAAAAAAAAAAAGCAAAAACAAAAAAACTGTCCCGGACAAATCAGAGCACTTTGCTGATGAGCAGTGAAATCCAAATACCTGTCAACAGGTGCAGAAGTGTGACTGAGAGTTACAGAAACACTGGATGGCAGTGATTAGCTCAAAGGGTTGTTCAACTAAATGTTAGTCTACGAGTCCCGTCATGCTGGTTTGCTTGTTTTTTGTTTTGCTTTTTAAAAAAAATATTTTTGTTGAACCCAGAATTCAAAATCAATGTCATGATTTTCGTTAAATTTTTATTTATTATGAATTTTGTCAGTTTCAACTTATTTCAGTGACTGAAGCTGTTTTTTTTCCTTCGTTAGCGGGAGGCTGTGAATACATCTGAGGACGACTGTGTTTCACTGAGTGTTTTGTCTCCAACCTGTAGGAGGCGCTGGAGGCTTGTCAGACTCGTATCTCCAAGATGGAGCTGCAGCAGCAGCAACAGCAGGTGGTGCAGCTGGAGGGTTTGGAAAACGCCACAGCGCGGACTCTTCTGGGAAAGCTAATCAATGTGCTGCTAGCTGTTATGGCAGTCCTTCTGGTGTTTGTGTCCACAGTGGCTAACTGTGTCGTCCCCTTAATGAAAACACGCAGCCGCACGCTTTCTACGCTGCTCCTCGTGATCCTCCTCGCCCTCCTCTGGAGGCACTGGGATGCTATTTCAGAGTATCTGCATCGGTTTCTTCTGCACCCCAGATGACCGGCTTGAAGACGCATATTTAAAAGATGAAGGGACAATATGTAAAGGGAGGTCGTTGACCCATACAGAAAGTTGAATCTCAATAGTCCTACCTTTTCTAATTGTTCAGCAGCTTTTCAAAACACTCAGGAGGATTGCATCAGAGGTTTGTCACTTTACCACTTTCTGAAAAGTGTTTTGAGAAGAATGAAGCTAAATAAGGACAGAAAAGGTTCGATGCTTGATTTTGACTTTCTATCACTGGTGCAATCGTGGCACAAGCACACACTGTAAGGGTGAACGGAGCATAGCTGAAGGAGGGGCTGAGAGAACTGCACACTTGATTTCTCTCTTCTGAGTGAATTTGTTTACACGTGGAAAACTTTTGAGTTGTTTCTCCACAGTAGAAATTGTAATTCAGAGTTTTATTACTTTTGAGCTGATTCAAGTGGTATTGTTTTGAAGTCACTGATATTTTTAATACAGCTGATCGATGGATTGTTATTTTCTTTTAACTGTAATGAGCTGACAGTGTTCTGCAGATTTAGTTGCCCACATTCTCTTCTTTTTTCTACGTTTTATCTCTTCTGGTCTCGTGATTCTGGTTTTTCAGTCTGCTTTTCCTTTCCTCTTTACTCTTATCTTTTTAAATTTCAGCTTGTGTGACCAACTCTTCTCTTCCTGCTCACTACACTCTGAAGAACGGGGTGCTTGCACATCAGCTACGTTGCTCCTGAATCAGACTTGTCACTGGGTCTAATACTTGTGGGTTCTTCACTTACTACTTTTGGATGTGTGAAGTCAATAACACTGGTTCTGCCACAACCAGGATAATATTATCAAAAACATTGTTTGGAGTTGCGACCCTGCCAACTGGATCCTACTGTCCTGGTGGCTTTTCCACTGCAGAAGAATAATCTATGAACTGAATTAACATACTTGAAGAGCGGCTAAAGTGCTCAAAGACTCAGTGCTTCCGTACTGTTTCTATTAGTGACAATGAAATAGTAATACTTTTTAGTTGATTTTTTTATTTTTTAAAGATAAATAAATTTGCTGTTTTAAAAGGTGAACGTCTCAGTCTAACTTGTGTTTAACTCCGATGTCAAGAAGCCACACAAGATGCACATCGCATTGCAAAAAGCTTCCTCTTGGGGTCACTTGTTGGTCACATGTATGTTGCAATGTTCTTGCAGGTTTTATGATTACAACCAGCAGGATGAAGCATGAACGGGACGGATCAGTAAACCCTCAAAATCATCTGGGATACTTCAGCATAAAAGAGGGTCAATGGGACTTTAGCCTGTGAATGTTGCGGACGTCTCAACATAGGAGTCCGGCTAGCACAGCCACGCAATCCTGAATGAAGGTCTAGTCATATATAGTATTTAAATGACTTTGTTATAGTTGTACAGGCACTTTTTTTAGGACCACATCTGTTCTCTTTGCATCATGGAGCTTGAGATGGTTGTGCTGGAAACTACATTTCTGCTTCCACCCTTTGACTTGGCCCAGCTCCATTTAGTAAGTAGCCTCCATCAGGGGTCCCTCTGCTACTCTGATTTCCAACAGTCACACGGACTGTGACAAAAAGAAAACTACCACAAATCCACACTTATGCCATGAAAGTATTGGGTTTTAAATGGTATACTTCAGAGTTCAGCTGGACAACAGACTAGACTGGAAATGCAACACTGACTACATCTACAAGAAAGGTCAGAGCAGACTCTACTTCTTAAGGAAGCTGAGATCATTCAGTGTCTGCACCAAGATGTTGCAGATCTTCTATAAGTCTGTTGTGGAAAGTGCAATCAGCTTTGCAGCCATCTGCTGGGGCAGTAGCATCAGAACCAGAGACTTAAAGAAGCTAAACAAGCTGATCAAGAAAGCTGGTTCTGTGCTGGGGATAACTCTGGAACCACTGGAGCTGATTGTTCAAAAAAGAATGCTGCACAAGATGATGAAGATGATGGAGGATTCTTCTCACCCTCTCCACAACACAGTGAAGAATCAACAGAGTGTGTTTAGTGGGAGGCTGTGTCAGCTTCGCTGTAGAACGGAGAGATACAGGAATTCCTTCCTGCCAACAGCCATCACCTTAAAAAACAAATCTGACTGAATGATTGTTGTTGTTGTATAGAATATATGTTATATTGATAAAAAAAAAAAAAAAGTGAGCTTTTACAAGATTGAATTTCCCTTCTGGGATAAATAAAGTATTTTTCCATTTCATTTCATAATAATAATAATAAATTTTATTTAAAAGGCGCCTTTCTGGTCACTCAAGGACACCTTACAAAAGATAAAAGAAACAACAATAAAATACACAATAATACAGTATACAACAATAAAAAAAATTCATCAGGCAGTGCAATTGTCACAGCAGGGAATAAGCAGTTTTGAGTTGGGATTTGAAATGAGAGTGAGTCAATGTTTCTGAGAGAGGGTGGTGGTGAGGTCCAGAGGCGGGGAGCAGAGCGGCTAAATGCTCCCCATGGTGGTGAGACGGGCGGAGGGGACAGACAGGTGTAGGGAGGAAGAGGATCTGAGGGAGCGGGAAGGAATGCGAACATGGAGGAGGTTAGACAGATATGGGGGAGGCCAGGTTGTGAATTGCCTTGAAGGTTAACAGGAGGATTTTGTACTGAATGCGGAACGGAACCGGGAGCCAGTGGAGCCGTTGGAGGACAGGGGTGATGTGGTGGATGGAGGCAGTTCTTGTGATGATGCGGGTGTTACACCCCTGAAAAGGGGAATAATGAACACAAGACACGAAGTGGTGTTACTTCCTTCACGTCCAGTCTTGTAATGTATTTCTTATATCAGAACAATATTCCAACAATACATCATTTTATAAACTAACTGCAAAAGCTAGCAAGAGAGCTACGGTGCAGCTAACCTGAAGCAGCGCTTACTCAAAGTTATAACAGTAACAGTTACAACAGAAAGATTTTACTTCTAACTTCATTCTTAAACAACAGAGGACATAAATACAGACTGCAATATTCAGCGGAGGTTTTACCTGAAAAGGGGAATAATGAACACAAGACAGGAAGTGGTGTTACTTCCTTCACGTCCAGTCTTGTTATGGACGAGCAGGAGCAACGCGGTTCCCTACGTTAACTCAGGCATACCCAATCGATTCCCAATTAGCAGGCAAAAACTCTAAAAACATAAATTCTGGGGGACATGCTCTATTAAAACAAGGCAAAACAATAAATGAGCAAAAGAACATTTAAACAATGACATTTCTAACTCGGTATTGTGCTAATGCGTCATTTTATAACTTTTTAGCTTGAAGACCAAAATAATCGATAGCGGATCAATCAATCAATCTGCTCCTTTTTGAAGCGCCAAAATGAACCAAAGCAAATGTTTTTATTTAATTATCACAAACCAAAGAGTGATGAACTAAAGTGGCTAGCTTAGCATTAAATCAGTCAGTGAGTGGGTTGTTATCGACACCTGGCAGATTCAAAGCCGGGAAAAATCAAATCAAGACAACTTCACTTAAAGCCAGGTGAGTATCCAGCTAGCTAGCAATGCTAACAGGTTTGCTTAAGTAATTTTATCCAAATGACAAAGAAGCATTCTTCCAACCACAACTGACCCACTTGGGGCCAGTTTATGAGTAAACACAGAGACTGGGTCTGTATATAACTGTTATTAACGAGCCTCCCGTGAACAGCCAAGCGACCAGCACCAGGAGAGGCTGAGCGGTTCAGGCAGGAGACAACTAGTCCGGAGTTTATATGGAAGGACATTGTTGAATAACTCCCTGTTCTGCTTTGTCTTCACATGAAATTCTGATCAGGCAACAACAAAACAAAAACCAAATCAAAACCAAACCAAATAAGAAAACAGCAAGTCAGAGAAGGTACCAAGATGCACATGAGTCTGATCCTGCTGCACTGTCTAGTTTGAATTGTAATCTGTGTTTCTCAACAGGCGTGTAACCTGTAGCTAGTTATGCAGTGAGCAGTAAAAATAATACGTTTAAATACAACGGATGTGCAGCAGCAGTAAACACCTGCTACCTTACAGTTTCTGCTGAAGCTTGTTAGTGTTGACTCAGTCACATGGTTATATTGAAGACTACCTGCTTCGATGTTATTGTTGTGGACTGCACAAAGAAAATGTGTTTCTTTTTCAGATTATATTCACAATCTGCTACCGATTTAGACAATACCATTACAAAACTAAATTCGAATCATTTGCATACAGATGGGTCTGTTTCATGCACGTCCCAATATTTCCCTTTATGCCAACAGAAGTGGTGGTCTCACTGTGAGAACTGAATATTTATTCTTTTCATATATTGTGTCGGTTTACTGAGCTTCCTTTTAGCATGCCTAAAGTTGTAATCCTAGTTTTCAATTTAAAATAAGAAAGTTATTCAGTGGTCTGGACACAGTTTATCAATAAAATCTCATTACAGGTAGCAGGAAATCTTCTCTCAAGTCACCGATTCTGCAGCGACGTGCAAGCTCAGACAAATGTGGTCCCGGATCTTCAGCAAGTCTGGCAGCACTGATAACGCTGAAGCCCTGAATGACTCGGATGAAACCCAGACAGACGATGGTGTTGACCTCGAGGGAACTGGGACCCTTGACACAGAACTGTTGCAATTGAGCCTAATGCCTGATGGCCACTGTTCTGCTGCTACTGGACCTGTTGACTCCGACAATACCCCTGACCATGCTCAGCCCTCAGGGTTGGATGCTGTACAAGAACAAGCTCAGCTTTTGACACTTTTTGAAAAATTCCGAGTCCTCCAACAAAGCAACCACTCGCTGATGATGGAGGCTCTGCAAGCGGAAGTGTACCGGTAGCGTATGATTCCTACTGTATTGCTCTCTGTGGTATAATGTTCAGGTTCTCTATTCAGACATGTAGAGTGTGGTTCTTACTGCCTGACAGTTTCGGCGACAACGCTCGCCTTCGTCAGAGATGACACTGACAGCGGGTGACGTGTCAGCCGGCAGATTTTGACAGCCGGCACCTGCGGCACGCCCAACATTATATTATCACTAAGAAGACATGATGAACGTTTTCGAGCTATTGCTCTCTGTGGGTTTAAAGGTCCGCGTTGTATTTGTCTTGTTCTGTTGTTGTGTTGCAGGCGTCACATTTTAGAACAGCAACTCAGCGACCATGCAGAACTGTGTCAGAATAAGACTTCACACTTGGCAGAGGAGCTCGTCCGCATAGAGGAGAAGATTGCTGATCAGTGTCATGAAAGAGCGACCGAAATTCACGTAAGTCTCCAGAATAAACCGTTTTGGCATGTTTTGACGTTTCCAAAGGTTTCAAATGGAATCCGCACACTGTCTGACCATCAAACAAATGGTTTGGTAGAAGGAGAAGCCATTTCAAATAGGAAGAAGCTGCAACACCGTAACCCTCCATCCATTATCTATACACCACTTAATCCTCACTGGGGTCGCGGGGGGGCTGGAGTCTATCCCAACCAATCAGTCTTTTATGGAGCTCTCAACAGAAGGAAAGACTTCGACCTCTTTTCTGAGGTTCCCCTTTTGTTTTTCAGTCTCTGTTTGCTTCAACAGACATTTGATCACTACTATCAAATCAAGGGAATATTTCAAATCTCTCTACATGATGGAGTTGTTATCCGATTTTCCTGTTTAGCTGGATTTCAATATTTCTCCATGTATTCAGAGTAGAACCATGCATACTGAGTTGTGCCTCCGTTGAATGTGTTTTTTCCAACTCTAACAGCGGTGTCTCCAGCAGGGCCTAGGTTTCTAGAAAAAAGTGGCACGATTTTTTTAAAGTCTTAAACACTTCAAAAGATTCAGTTTTAGGCCAAATGATTGTGTCCTTGAATTGCTGTAGGTCTGCCCCTGGTGTCCGATATTCAGACGTCCTTCCGCTGTCATCATTGCAATTGCAGGATCATGAACATATGTACCCTGTAAATTTATGCTTTTTGAGAATGCAGGTTGTTCCTTGGCAGATGTGAAGCACCTCCTAGTGTATTACATTTCAATGTTAACAATTTAGGGATATATTTATGACTCTAACTTTCTGTGTGTCATTGACAGTTGTCATTTGACAGAATGATGCTTTGTCATGTATGCCTTCTTATAGCACATTGAATGTTGATTGATTGTAAAGTTACTTCTTGCTTGGGATTACTTCACTTTGCACCAAACCATTTACCTGATGAAGGTTTAGAAATGACACGTTGCAAAGAACGGTAATTTTGCACATTAGACAGTGAGCAGGAAACCATTTGAGACTTCTGGAAATGCTCTTCCATCACCTGTGCACCTGTTTTATGAAACACACCTGTAAAAGATACACATTTTGATGTGCCATAAGAGGAAACACATGCTAACAGTAATAAAGGCTGCATTCTGTGCACATGAATCGTTTCCAGGATCCCCTTACTGTGTGTTTTTGATTACCCGATAAGGTTAGTTACACTTGTGCTATTCCATCCTTTGACCAGTTCTGGATTATGTCACTAACTGGGAACAGCAGGTAACTACTCCACAGCCTCAGATCTCCAGTAGCCAGGAAGGTTTTTACAGCTCCTGTGATAACGTCGTTGAAAATTAGTGTTATTGCATCACGACGGTACAGCTGGGAAGAGCCTTATGCTGGACTCTGCCTCGTACGTCCTGTGGAGGGTGTCTGTGGGAAAACCTAGCTCATTATTACTGTTCTGAAGCAATGCTATTTGTAAGTGGAAAATGTACAACCCCACAGTCAACCTGTTGCAAAGAAAAACTGCACAGTGTAGGAGTGTCTGGCTGGTTCACATGGGCCTTGCAGCTCTTTTGGCCTCAGGTGGCACAAAAAAAAAAAAGATCTGTAATTCTTCTGATTTGTCATTAAAGCTCTTTTGTTTTGTGTCTCGCCTGTAGGAAGCGCTCGAGGCTTGTCAGTTACGCATCTCTCAGCTGGAGCAGCAGCTCAACAGATGGGAGGCAACCACAGCACAGAGTCCTCTTTAAAAACGAATCGATGTGCTGCTGGCCATCCTGGTGGCGTCTGTGTCCACAGCAGTAGCACCGCTGATCAGAACACCAGGCGGCGTGCTTTCATCACTGCTTTTTGTTCTCTTTGGTTTTCTCTGGAGGCTCTTTTTTTTTTAAGAGTATTCATATTTTGTCTTCTGGCCTTGAAAAAAGACAATAAAATTGACTCAGGCATCATTTTGGCATCTCCATTAAGAGTCCAGACTTTTTTTTTTAATCCATCTATCTTTAAAACCCACAAAGATATTCCTGCCAAGAAGTCAAATTTAAACTTTAATCTCCTAAAGGAGTTCTAAAAATGATTGAAAATACTGTTGCACATCTTACAGACTCCATACTGCTCAGTTGTGGCAGCAACTCAAGTGTTTGAGTGACATCAAATAAAATGCAGAGTTGGGAGTGACGGTGAAATAACTCAGGAGTCTATTAATCAGAGTTCCAACTATGTTTCCTGAGTAACATAAAATGCATAAAAGGGCTTATGCTCCAAATACTGACATTTTTAAAATACACACAAGAACTCAAATTGAGATTTTATTGCAAATAAACAGTATAAAACAGTTAAGATTTCTGGATTTACTCTGCCGTCTTCTTCCCTCGTTTTCCAGTTGCTTTGGCAGCAGGGGCCTCACTGTCTGCTTTAGCAGCTTTGCTCTGAGACGTTTTTCCCGTCTTCGCCTCTTTGGTGGTCTTCGGTGCTTTAGTTTTGGTTGCAGAGGTTCCCTCATCATTCGGTTTCTCTTCAGCCTTTTTAGCTTTAGGCCTTTTTGCTGGAGCAACATTTGGAGCAGCAGACCCCTTGTCTTTCGGTGACTTTCTTGGAGGCTTTGAGTCCTAAAAATAGGAGAAAAAAAAAGTCAGTCACAGCCAGGATTTGATAAACACTGAAGTCATAGGTCGAAGCAGCTCAAGAAAGTTGATGTTTGGGTATTTTATGAAAAGTTTGCCCAGTTGTTGGATTAGTTTTGAGCTTTAATATGTCCCAAGCAATGTTCATGCTGGTATCTGCCCTGGATCATGTCAGTGGAACAAAATCTGTACATTTAAAAAGGACATTTTAGCCTTTTTTAAAAACAAATAAATAAAAATGGCGTATTTGTAACTTTAAAATAAAAAGCAAACCACATTCCAGGGTCATACAGACTCATTTTATGCAGTCTCACCTCTGAAGTCTTCTTCTGCTCATCTGCAGTGTCTTTCTTCTTGGTGGCACCTTTAAGAAGTTACAAGTTATTAGAACAGACATCAAATAAGAACATATATTCCCGGATATCATCATCATCCCCCAGATTATTCACACCCGTTTTTTTGGGCTTCTTTGCTCCCTCCTTTGCTGCTTTTGGGGCTTTTTGCACATTAGGATCCACGTTCTCAGCTTTGGGTTTTAACTGTTTCACTTTCGGTGCAAGCTTGAGACAAGGGACGAAAAATATATACGTTTACAAGAGATGAAATTACAAGTAATGGTGACGTTATGAAAGCAGTTTGGACGCAGCTGCAGGTTTGTCATCTTACCCTAAACTTGCCCATCGCGCCTGAAGTGACTGTGGAGTTGGCAGGCCTCACCAAGGTGCCATTTTCGATTCCTTTCTTCAGGGCTCTGCGGACCAAGTGCTTCAACCTCACCAGATCCACAGACGGGTATTTACGTTTGATATAACTTTGTATGGCTTGGGATGAAACCCCTTTGCGCGAATCCAACTCTTTCAGCGCCTCTTTCACCATAATCGCTGTGGAGGGATGAGTTGCAATTTTGCGCAGCGCTGCAGCGTCTAGACAGGAAAAGACATTTAACCCATGCGGGTTTTTTTGTTGTTTTTTTTCCTGTTTAAACAACTACCAACTTTGATGGTTGTAAATAATAGTTGGGACTTGCTGCACACAGACCTGATTTTTGCGCAGCTTTCTCTTCCACCGGAGCTTCGTTCGCGGACGGCACAGAATCAGCAGGGCCCGCTGCTGCCTTTTTGGGAGGCATTATTTTCAGATATAAAAGAACAACAAGACACAAAAGGCAACCTATGTAAAGCCTACAAGTACTAGTGCCACGCTTGCCCATTGTCTCTGTCTTTAAGCAGCTGCCTCTGGTGAGGTGAGACCACGTGAATCTCATCGCATCAGGTGCAGCCGATTAGGGTTTGCAAATTAAAGCCAGCGGGGAGCGCAGAGGAAGATTTCCTCCAACGACTGCCCGGTACGTTTGAATATCTCATGTCTGTCTGTCTTTTCTTTTAAAAGCAATACCTCCTAAATACAATTTAAACAGTCAAAAACATAAATTAAAGCAAAAGTTGCCTAGATAAAGTGGATGCGTAAACGTGCGCAACTGGCCGACCAGTTTATAAAAACACTGAACGTGTAGGCTGCTTACTTCTCATGAATACATATGCAAGCTATTTGGAGAAGAAATATATTAAAATAGGTGAAATAAATAGAATCTAAATAAATTAACCTCATGCGCAAAGTAGTTCTGCTGAGAGTCCAGCGGTTTTGTAAATGTTCGGGAACACAACCCTCTCAGCTACAGTGCATCCGGGGCGACACTTTATCCATTTTGATAAATAAATCTGGACAAAGGAGCCAGATTGGTGTGTAATTAATGGATCATATAGGATTTTCTCAGTGATAAAAATGAGAATCACAATCTCCGTTTTTCCTCATCAGCTGGCCCACAGTGCTGCGCTTCACTGGCACGTGGCCACAACAAAACCCTCTGCTCCGTCAGCAAACACCTCATCCATTAAAGTCATGGAAGGTGCAAATAATGTAGCTCCCACAGGACAAAATTTAAACAAGATTTTTAAAAAATTGATTTATTTATTGTTGATTTGCAAATAGAATATGACAGTTGCATATCAAATTCCAGCAACAGTCGTTTAAAACAAGAAGGAAGCAGCTACATCAGAGCAGAGAGGCACACACCACTGCACTTGAAAGGCATTTTGAAATTAGAAAATAATGTTGCATCTTTCCAGGTTTACTTTTTATTGTGTTTAAGGTGGCATGCAAGATAACAAGAGCTGCAATCATCTGTTACTCAAGAGTTTCTACATCAAACAACACAATGAAGTTTAAACCTTGTATATAAAAAAGAGACAGATTTGCGATGGGTCTAAAAGGATTTTGTTTGGTCGAGTTGAATCATTTCTCTTTAAAAAAAAAAAGAGAGAGATGCAACAATATCTCATAAATGTAATCAGCAAATACAATAAATGCAGCCAAACCTTTCTTTCCTAACCTCTAATACACTTATAGGCACATTTTGATTCACTATTTTGGTGAATTTATTGGTAAATTTGCATTATTTTTATGAATGATTTTTAAAGCATACAATGCAGTGGTGACAGGAAAGCTTTATTCTAGTTAGAGGAACTTACATTATTTCAGTATGAGTAGAGATAAAAGGAGAAACATCGGAGATGAGAACAGAATCGTGTGGTGGGAACAGATGATGTGGCTGAACGTACGAGAGCTGCAAAACAAATGCGTACCTTCAAAGAGTTTGTGGTATAGGAAGTGTACAGCCGCACAAACCCACAGTGACTCAGCAGACTGTCCTGTTTGTGTGTCTCCTCATATGGAAGAAACAGAGCCGCTGACACGATGATCAATCTGTCATCTTCGCCTCCGCTGCAGAATATTCATTCTAAATAAAACAAATAATAAGTCAATTCAAAAGGGTGGATATGAGGGTGGCTTTCTGTTGATTCAGTTCTCATGCCTACTGTGCTTTTCCTGTGCACAACTTCTGCAAAGTGACATTCAAGTTTGCCAAAGTCCGAGTAGTCGCACATTCAAGTTTCTTCTTCAGAGAGTTCTGGACAGAATTCGGCTTTGTATGGCCGGAGTCCTGCTCTTTGACATCCTCATGGGTGGGTTCAACCTTTTGTTTGTAGTTGCTGAATCTATGGTGCAGGTTCTTGCTGTTGTTGGTCTGTTTGTTTATCAGTTTGTTGAGGAACTGCAGTGTGGAATCCAAAACTAATTTCCCCTCCAGAGCAAATAAAATACAACTTGATCTTTAACCCTGCCTTGTAATGGAAAAATACTGCATCTGCATGAAGAATGTCAAAGCAAGTTTCACTAAGTTTTATTAAAGCTGAGTGGAAAGGTTACAGGCCCAAAAATGTGTTCTCATGACATCTAGGTAAAAGATTAGTGATGGTACATGTCAAGAAGATTATAGGAAACACAATCTTGTTGCATCCAATGTGTTTAGTCTTCTAATGTCTGTGGATGAGTGCACCCTGGACCCCCAGCTGTTGATTATCAAGCACGAGATTGTTCTACTACCATTGGAGTAAAGACCACGCCTGTACATGTATAAGAACACCATGCTGCCTGCACTCATGTGGACTCTCCTGCAGACTGCTTGCATTCTGTCTGACCTGTACCTTCAAAGCTTTGAATAAAACAAGACAAAGACAACTCGGACTTTATTAAGATCGTAGAAAAATATCCACAACAGCCTCTTACAAAATGAAATGTTAGATGGAGTTATAATTTGTCTACAGGTTATCAAAGAGTGTGTATTAAATGTGTTCACCTAAACATTTTATTTCCAACAGATTCCTTTCATGAAAATCAAGGACAAGGTCAGACTCTAATTTATTATCTTTAATGTCCACCTATGCTGTTATCACTATGGAGTCTGATATTCAATTTGCAATTGTTTACATATAATGCACAATATTTATATGATATGATACAAGAATGTGAAAAAAAGACTCTTTCATGGCAAAATGAAAACAGATTTATACAAAGTAATGTCATTTATTTAAAAAATATAAAATGATGAATATTTATGCAAGCACATTTATTTTTTATATATTTCATATTTGTAATTATTTGATATTAGCTTGCAGAAAGTCAGTTTCCACTTTGACGTGTAAGAGTCTCTAAATTCTTTTCACAAAGGCCACGTGATGTTGACCACAATTCAATGATGAAAAGCAATTAAACTGCCAAGAGATCAATGCTTTTTATAGTCACTGCATTTAACTTGTTAACATATTTAATTCTAACAGATTACTTTCACCGGAATCGAGGTAACAGCCACTCTCTGATCTATTAAAGTTTTACTTTGGTTTATATTCCAGATCACAGTGAATATATGGTAAGTCCCAACTTCAAATCTTCTTCTTCTACCATCAGGTTTCCTTCATGCAGTGACTGTTCTGTCTTGAATAAAGCTGCCCTCACTCTCTCTTCCATCTAACATCTTATTAAATCATTTGCAGGCTGTTTATGATGAAACCTACAGTATCGTCACCTATGAGTACAAAGCAGGTGAGCTGTGTTTGATTTCTGAATGCAGTCGAGGGTTCATGGACAGGACAGGAAACACCTAGAATGAGTTATCACAAACACATCCTGTGCACACATACCATTACTTTGTATTTATAATGATAATAATCGTAATAAAATAAGAGACATTTTTTGTGCTCTCACCAAAGTAGAATTTAATTACATCTTTTTGCAGTTGTTGGTTGGCAGGAAGAAAGTAAGGTTTTGAATAAAATACGTTTCCTTCATAGAAGGATGAAATACAGAGTGGAGAAGGAGCAGGGCTGTGGTTGTGTGATTTCTCTGAATGGATGCGTGTTGTATTCTACTGAATGATGCAGGAGACTGAAACTAGAAGATGAGCAGCTGCAAAGGAGACTGAATAGATAAAACCCAGTTTAGCCACTTGGTGGCGCAAGTTCTGCTCAAATGCTGAATGAAGAGTTTGAATAAACATTAATGCCATTATAGGTACAATCACATGTTGTGTGAATTCTCAAACGAGCATTTACATGTAAAAGAAGGCAGGTAATTTATTTCTTTTTTCTTTCCATAGAGTGAGAACAGCTTGTTACAGGCTCGATTAAGAAGAAACTTCAGCAAAGTCAGAGTTTAACAATTATTTATTTTGACAATCAGAAGTGGGTATCCCCGTTTACATTATCGCGTCTTTGTTCTCCCAAAAACAACAATCCAACCCGAAATAGCTGAAACCACCGCAGAAGGCGGACAAACCCGCAGATTTATAAAGCACACATCCACTTCAGCCCAAAATCAGGGCACGGCAAAAACACTGCAGGCCAAAACACCCCAAATGAAACCAGTAAGATCAGGTTGGGTATGTGTTGGAGTGACAGGCGATATACGATCTGTCGGGAAGTGACCCAATAAAAATAACATACAAAACAAAAAAAAGGAAAAAGGGAGTTAGTCCGCTCGCACAAGTTTACCAACACATAAACACAGACGTACTACTGGAGCGGACTAACTCAAACAAAACTAGAAACTAAACAAACATCAGGACAGCAGGCAGCGGTAAGACGTGAATACTGTAAAACAAAAAAATACAAAATTACCTCACGAATAAATGTTTAATTCAAATCGTAAAAACATTTTAAAATACCGCATGACCTGGCGTCGTACTCCCACGCCCAGTCATTCACTACCACACAACTGACAGTTCTCCACAAGACCGTCCGACCCTGCTGTACAAAATGGACTACACTTAAAACTCAGTCACAACAATAAAACATTCATCAGGTTAAAATAT